TGTGCCCCCACACCCACCATGGAGCCACAATTAGAGGCAGGACACCCAACAAGAAGCTATCGCCGATCTTGTCGGGGCCTCCTAGGGGTGCGTCGTGAGTATACGCCCCACAAACGCCACCTTAAGAAACCGACAGTCCGTCGAGATCGGGTTCAGTGACGAAGTGGGGATTGACAATAAAAGGTTCCCCTCGCTCTCGACGTCGGGTACTGCAGTTCTACGGGTGCAAGAGTATGCCTCCCCAAGCACCCGGGCGTCAAAATAAAAGAAGTCCAAGGGAAGAACCAGAACGAGCAAAAGGTCGGCAGGAAACGGCAAGCAGATAGGAGAAGAGGGGGGAGAAAAACGAAACAGAAGGAAAAGGAAAAGATGCCCAGCAGAATTGGAGAGGACGGCAGCAGGAGCACAAGGCTAGAAAAGGACAGGACTGTCCCAAGGAGCATCACACTCCGGCAGCCGCCCACCAAGCCCCCACACGGCGACAACGAGCTGAGCGGGGAGGGGGCACATACATATAAATATATACAATATTTACATAAACTTTATTTTCTAAGAATTACTTTCTAAGTTATCAAAAGGCACAAGTGACACGGACTACTTACTAGCGTAACAACATGGCTATACTAGACAGTATGGGACTGGCAATTAAGTTGTGGACGTGGTGGATGGTGACGTTACAATCACGTAAGTTGTATGTGTGTAGGTAACGGCTAAGCATGAATATCAACAATCAAGTCAGTGAATTATCACTTCGCTTTCAGAAACCAATGTCCCAACTGGACTGGCAAAGTCTAGAATCTCTGCTACAAAAGTTAAGAGTCCACACTGGCATGAGAACATGGCCGAGTCTTCCCACCCGGATATTAAATACTAATAACTTCACCACAATAGTTACAATTTGAAAATATTGTTGTAACAGGAAACAATGATCCACACACAATCCCCTTCTTACCTTATGCGGTAAAAGTAAACCCCAAAAATACAATGTCTCGAAAAGAGCACAACACCGTATATATTATTCTTACAGACCAGTGAACACTTCTCGTCTGTTCCCCACGGGTCGGCTAAACCAACTTAAGTCTGATATCAAACCCTCTCGGGGGGTGAAAAAATATAAACTAATTTTACAAACTCTGGTACATACGCACATGTTCCGCTTCACAACACTGAATAATACAAATATACAAGTGTAACAGGAACAGATAAGCCCCTTCATGGGTTGGCTGATCTGAGGCTAACACTCACACGGAAAGCTGGATAGCCTTCAACCATTGAACACACAATGAAATATGACATATAAACATAATACACATGTATATAGTGATATTTAAATATAGACAAAACTGCAGCAGTATAATGTTAGACAATTGTAATACAGATTATTAAGTACTTTTAGGGCTGGGGTCATAACATTGTTATTACAGAAAAATAAGTCTGGCGTTGGTACATTAGACAACGGACGGTTAACAAGGCGGGGGTCCAAGAGCTAACAGTTCGATGCTGCAGGCACACGGTAAATACATGTACATTATAGCAAAAGAGAAGCATCAAGTATAGCCGTTCTATAGCATGTAAAAAGTGAGACTACTCACAGTGAAGGGAAATTCTCATGAAAAACTGGTGTGTGAAGAACTCTATAATAGATTTCAGGAGGCCTTTACAAAGGAACCACAATTTACAGATAAAAGGCTAAAGGAAACACAGGATACCAGTAGTTACTGTGAAAGCGGTACAAAAATTACCTGTGGGAACCAGATTTACCAAAATCACCAAGGCTCCTGAAGAAGGTGGCACAGGCATTGTGGCACTCACTAACTCGTAAGCGTTGAATGGCAGGCTGCCATAATGCCTTAACAAATGCAAATTATTCTCCCTTTTCGTCAATCTTCGAATATTACTATACCTCTTTGATAGCATCATGGACACAACACCCACAATCCTTAAATTAAGTATCAAGTGACAATAATACTGCATTGAGAGGTGAGGTAAGGTCTCAGTCTTCCAGATGTGATCAGTGTTCCAGGGCGCTCAGGTGGGCTGTGCCTTCTCCAGGAACTTCTTCAGCGTCGTGCGTGTTGTCGCGTCGGGGTCGAAGTCAGATTCTGACACAGAGAAAGATGAACATATACCCAGTCGCACATAAACATCTATTAAATAAAATGTGTATTATTATATATATAAAATACAACATTTTTTGTTCACCCTCGTCTTAAGTGTTGACTGGATGGTGTTGTATTAACGTACACATGATAAGTATCTCGCAAAATGTAAATAAATAATATATATATATATATATATATATATATATATATATATATATATATATATATATATATATATATATATAATTGTTGCCCTCACATGGCAACAATGTCTTCTGTACGAACAGACTAAAACAAAGGGCTAGCCTTAGCCAGAACACACGGCTACGTCTCACCAGACAGTCTGCTAGGCTTCACCAGCTACAGAGACAAAGCTACTCCTCACCAGGGTTTGCCTGCTGTTTGGTGCTGGGGTCTGGCGTATTAAGCTTCATGTAGTCAACGTTGTCTGCGTCTCCTGACGGTACGATGGGTTGGGCTGCCTCTCCACGCGTCGCCGACCCTGTCCCCGAGGGCACGTATTCACTCGACTTTCCACCTGGACAAATATTCGACGATGTAAGTCATTGTATTCACATAACGGTTAAAATGCAAGCAAGAGTACGTAGCTTTATACCAAATAATTAGTTCTAAATATACATTTAATAAACTACTACTGCCAGCCAGAGGAGGTACTCCCTCCCTTTAATAAACTATAAATAAGAAAAAATAATGGTTCACCGTTTCATCTACGTATACTATCTTCGAAGGAGGAGAGAGAGAGATAGATCAATATTAGAAATTTTCAGGACTCATGCTAGACATCATTGCATTGTTCTGTTGTGGACTAGGTTCATGGAAAGTATTAAAGTCAATTCGTTCCTGGGTCTGAAGTTACCACAGACTGAGTTAGGAAAGTAATCTCATTATATTGAATATTTTTTGTTAGCAGTTTTACAAGTTGGGTTACAGGTGAATATCTTTAACAGAATTAGAAAAGAGGCCCTTACCCTTTCTCTCCACACACACACACACCCCACACACACCACAACACACACACACACACACACACACACACACACACACACACACACACACACACACACACACACACACACACACACACAATTGATGTTTTTCGCAAAGTGGTAGACGGTTGGAATAAGTTAAGTGAAAAGGTGGTGGAGGCCAAAACCGTCAGTAGTTTCAAAGCGTTATATGACAGAGTGCTGGGTAGACGGGACACCATGAGCATAGCTCTCATCCTGTAACTATCCTTAGGTAATTACACAAAAAAGCACACCCACCTCGGGTCGCAGCGGGACTTCCTCCGTCAGCAGGCTGCAAGGGAAACAGCATCGTCAGAAGACCGCCTCGATGCACACTGCAACATACTTTACACTATCAGCTCTTTGCAACACACAGGTGACGTTCAGTGCTACTTGTTGCAAATTACTGGTGATATTAAGTAAATCATTTAGGAATTAAAAAGGAATGATAGAGGGGCGGAAATAGTAGGAAGAATGAGAAGAGCAACGTACAAAAGGGAGATAAATTGTGAGAGTAAAGAGGTAAAGAAGAAGAGACGTGAAAAGAAAGGGGGAAGACAAAATAAATACAAACATGTGTAGAGTGACACACAAACAGGCTAACATGCACACACACATACATACAAGTAGGAAGCAACTCTTTACACATACACAACCTGACATGCATATAGCAATACTCATGTATCAATATACACACTCAACCCGTTCTCGCACTTTCGTATAGTCAATATTGACTTATTAAATACGTGCATATGTGACATACTAAACATACTAGTTTACCTTGAAAAGCTTCATAGAAAACACCGACCTTACCTAACCTTCTTAGTATGCTAAGATAAGCATCTTATTGCTTCTTAATTACAATTATTACTTAACCTATTATAGGTATAGGTTAAGTAATAATTGTAATTACGAAGCAATAAGATGCTTATCTTAACATACTAAGAAGGTTAGGTAAGGTCGGTGTTTTCTATGAAGCTTTTCAAGGTAAACTAGTATGTTTAGTATGTCACATATGCACGTATTAAATAAGTCAATATTGACAAAGAAAGTGCGAGAAGAGGTTGACACACTACACACACACACACATACTTAGTCGTGCAAAGACACAGAGGTAAACATTGAGAGAGAATTACTGTACATGCAAAGAAAACATACATGTCGAGAGAACAAACACACAGCTACATACACATGTACAGATATACCTGCATACATAAATATGCATAGACAGAGACAGCCAGCCAGCCATGCAGTCCCACAAGACATACAGAAAACAAAAGTGAAGCCAGTACTCACCAACAACAAAAGCTAACAGTCCCTCCCCTCAAGGCTTCACACCCACACATCAACCAAGAGCTAAAGCTCCATCCTGCAGACACAAATATGTAAACACACACAAACCCGTCGTAATGGGATGACAGCAGAGTGGCAACAGGTGCAAAATCACACCCATCACAGAGTAAATCTTTATTAAATTAAATTGAAATGAATGTTACAGAAGTATAAGCGAGGTATTTCAGAGAGGGAGAGAGCGCAAGAAAAAACAAAAGCAGACACTAGCTATTATGGAAAGCTTATATTCATCAAATAGTCAAGAAATGCTAGAGGTAGGCTCAGCATGCCTTAAGTAAATAATCAAGAGCAGTAGAGTCCAAGTGGCAGTCACGTGCAAGCAACAGCACGCAAGAGTTAAGAGCGAGGGAGGAAGTCAAGCATGAACCAGAGGTCTTCTGGCTCCTGCAGCAGAGCTGGACGAGGTATCGAGGCTAGTAAGGTCTTGCCTTGAGGTTGGTCTTCATGGCCTGGAGCTGGCTCATCAGGTCCTGGTTACGCTCCTGGAACTGCCTGTAAGAGAAGACGATGGTCAACATGGGCTTGGGTTGACTGTTCTATATTTAATGTTGTGAAGGGCTGCATATTATGGAAAGTGGATCTAGGAATTAGTAATAAAGTGAGTGAGTACCATTGCAAGCCGGAAATTAGGCAGAAAATTCCTTGTAAGAATACAAGCGAAGAATAAATCAGTGTTATAAATCGAGTAACTGGAAACTGGTGACATCAACCTGGGACAACAAGAGGTCAACTGTACCGCACCGGGGACCAGCTTCGCTACCCTACGCTAAGTACCTGCCATAAAGTTTGAACAAAATAACATACATAATATTACAAACATACGGTATACATATAATATTATAAATATTAAATATATAAATATATACATATAATTTTATAAAGAGTTAAAAGGACTGACATCAACAAGTGATCCATACAGTGAAGCACAAATACAATACAATACATCAGACAATGGAGAGGTGTGGCGAGTGTTCGGAGTATTGGGAAGACGTACTGGAGGCGTCAAGTGTTGCATCTGTAACAAAAGATTTCACCTGGGTTGTGCAGAATTATCTCCAGGATGCACAAACAGGCAAGGAATTTACAGGGTTTGCAAAAATGACAGATTAATGTTGGAGAACATAACTAAACTGATGAAAAACATTCCCGAGTCACAGCGATTTTCATTCACAGACAAGCTACCAGTGATATATGCGGACTGGGAAAAGACAACATTGGATAACGACCAAAACTCAGGAACAGATAGTTTAAGAGAACCGCTGCAGTAGTGTGGAGGAAGAGGGTTGTTACCTATCGTACGTTACGGCTCGTGATCCTACAGCAGCCAAACTTTAATAAGTCTAGGGATACGACACAACTGCTGTTCTCAATAGCGAATCACCAGTATAACCCCTTAATGGGTAATGAGCATAAAATAGAATCTTCATAGGACTGAAGAATAAAGACTAAGCATATATATATCATTTATATTAAATAAATCTCAAAGGCAAACAGATGATTATATGGTCACAATATATCACATTAAAAATATCACTGTAACTTCCAGACATTAAATCAATACTAAGAATAATTATATGGCTAGAACAAAGAATGACTTAACTCCAAGATGATATCTCCCTGGTTTCTGCTCAGCTACTGAACTACAATATGCGAGTCAAAAACACATTGCCTTGCCCCGCGAATAAATTGCCAAAGTTACAATATTTATTATTTCAACAATGGAGCACTACATTGTGACAAGAGTAATCTTAAACTAACTTAATGAATAATTAGTACATATTGATATAGACAAACAAAGCAATTGTTTCTTTACATAGTAATTAAAATATGCATACAGAAGGAAATAATGGCATGCACACCCCAGCAACGGACGATCCCACGACAATTTGCCAGATACAGTTCACTCAATTATTATTTCACTCTGTTACCCACTTATGATCACATATAAATCATTAGTTCCCGTGGGAAAACTGATCACACAAAGAAATAAACAATCATTCCCACGATACGCTGGGCCTAACGCCAACACTGTAACATGAATGTGCATTTGCATAGAACATATAAGTATAACAATATACATGCTTGTAATTTACATACAATTATAAATGTACATATTAATATATTCACTTACGTATCTTATAAGGGTACGTAACAAGGGTATTGTGGTACAAAATAACAGCAATATTACAGAGCCAGGTAATATAAACAATGAGAGCAACAGTGAGACAGAGTGCATAAATGTAGGAATTGGGACGAAAGACGGAGATGGCTCCAATAAAGAGGTAGACAAGACAGACACAGGTATAAATACCTTGAAAAACGCAAAACCTGAACATATTTGCAAAATCTACGCTAAAGGAATATGCAAATATGGAAAATTAGGAGCAAAATGCAATTTTCTGCATCCTCGAAAATGCAGGAACATGTTGGCGAAGGGTACATACCGTTTTGGAACAGGGTGTAGATACTTTCACCCTAAATTATGTCAATTTTCAATTAGGGACAAAAAATGCTACAATCTTCAGTGTCCGAAATTCCACGTGAGAGGTACACAGCATTATAGACGGGAAGATCAATATGACACTACTGGAAATTTTTTAGAGGAAGGCAGAAACAGTAGAAAATATAAGGGAGAGGAACAGTCAGATGGAACCACTACAGGATTACAGAGGAGAAGGGAGATACCCAAAAGACTGGAATACAAATTATCAACAAGCACACAGGTACTACACCACACAACACCCGTCCTACTACCAAAACTGGACGAATCACTTCCAAAACAACACACCCTGGACCTGGGTAGAGTGGGGGGAGAACTACCAAAGCCCACCAGAAGTGACACGCAATGTGGGAAATCATTCATATTTCCAAACATACAAGGATTGAAACCAAAATCAAGAAATAAAGTTAAGTTCATAAATGGCCGCCTAATAGAATCGAACTCAATATTTGGTGCATTTACAGAAACCCACACAAAAGACCACATGGATAGTGAAATCTGGATTCCGAATTATAATCTATATAGATGTGACAAATTAGATTAAGTGGAGGAGTAGGTCTGTATATTAAAGAGGAGCTGGCATGCACAGAGCTCCTGAACTCGTCCAATGAGGTGGTAGAGGTACTTGGAATCAAGGTAGAAAATATGAATCTACTTATTATTTTAATATACAAACCGCCAGATGCAACAAGTTGAGGAATTCACTGAACAGATCCACAAAATAGAGAATATCCTTGATAACCTAGCAAACCCAGTACCAGATATCATCTTCCTTGGAGACTTCAATCTACCCAGTTTAAAATGGAGAATAGTAAACAATAACATTATAGCAGGAAGTCAACCTGGAAATAACCAACCACAGGTCAGAGAACTACTGAGATTCTGTGACAAATTCTCGCTCAGTCAGCAGATTACAGAACCAATTAGGAACAAAAACACGCTGGACCTGATATTCACGAACAATGAGGAGCTAATCAGAGACATTACTGTCTCAGACACTACGTACTCGAACCACAAGCTCATTGAAGTGCAAGCTAACATTAATAACGGTAGTAGGCCCAAGAGAAACAACAAGCGAGAAGGGCTATTCAATAAATTCAATTTTAATAATAAAAGGATAGACTGGGAGAAAATAAACAGGGAACTTATAAACATTCAATGGGAAAATGTTCTAAGAAATAAAAATCCTACACAAGGAATAGAAAAACTGACTTCTGGTGCATATGAAGTCTGTCTGAAACATGTTCCTTTGAGGAAAGCCAGAAAGAGGTCCAATGTAGAAAGAGAACGCAGACGACATTACAAAAGGAGGAAGAAATAAACGGAAATGCTTAAGCAGACACGACTCTCCATACAAAGAAAAAATAATTTAAACAGGGAGATTGAAGAAATCGAACAGAGACTGAAGCATTCCTATCAGACTGAAGAAAGGCAACTAGAACAGAAAGCAATTCAAGAAATAAAGAAAAACCCTATATATTTCTTCACATATGCTAAATCAAAAGTGAAAACCACTGCCAGTATTGGACCTATTCGTATTAGTGAAGGTTCATACACTGAGGATGACAAAGAAATTAGTGAAATCCTAAAAAAGCAGTATGAGGACATGTTTAGCACTCCGATACTCAGCATGAAAGTGGAAGATTCGGACAATTTCTTTATGAATGATACTTAAACACCTGTAAATATAACTGATATCAGCACGAGGGTGGCAGATTTTGAAAGAGAAATTGACAATATGCCCATGAACTCAGCCCCGGGTCTAGACTCGTGGAATTCAATATTTATAAAGAAATGCAAAGTGCCAGTAGCACAGGCACTCAGTATAGTGTGGAGGAAGAGCTTTGACACGGGGGAGATACCAGATGCGCTTAAAGCAGCAGACATTGCCCCTCTACACAAGGGTGGTAGCAAAGCATTGGCAAAGAATTATAAACCAGTTGCACTAACATCCCACATAATAAAAGTATTTGAGAGAGTGATCAGGAGTCAGGTCACTAGATTCATGGAAACCAATGACCTCCACAATCCAGGCCAACATGGATTTAGAGCAGGAAGATCATGCCTCTCACAGCTACTTGACCACTATGACAAAATCACTGAGGCAATAGAGGAAAAACATAATGCAGATGTCGTATACACAGATTTTGCAAAGGCATTCGACAAATGTGACCATAGAGTGATTGCACACAAAATGAGGTCAATGGGTATAACTGGTAAAGTTATAAATTCATATATATTCATAAATTCGCTGGATACTCAATTTCCTGTCGGACAGAACACAAAGAGTAACAGTCAATCAAGTAAAATCGAGTCCGAGCGCAGTTAAAAGCTCTGTACCTCAAGGTACAGTCCTTGCACCACTGCTGTTCCGTATTCTCATATCAGACATAGACAAAAACACAAGTCACAGCTTCGTGTCATCCTTCGCAGATGATACAAAAATCAGCATGAAAATTACCTCTGCTGAAGACATTGATAAACTACAAACAGATATTAAAATTTTTTTGATTGGGCAGCAGAAAATAACGATGTTTAACGGTGATAAATTCCAGGTACTCAGATACGGCAAAAATGAGGATCTTAAACATAATACAGGGTACAAAACACAATCGAATCTGCCCATTGTAGGAAAACAGCATGTCAAGGATTTGGGAATAATGATGTCCGACGACCTAACGTTTAGGGAGCATAACCAAGCAAGTATTGCGTCAGCCAGAAAAATGATAGGATGGATTACGAGAACCTTCAAGTCCAGAGATCCCATCACAATGGTTGTACTCTTCAAATCACTTGTGTTGTCCCGTCTTGAGTACTGCTCAGTACTCACTTCCCCCTTCAGAGCAGGAGAGATTGCTGAAATTGAGGGAATACAGAGAACATACGGCACGCATAGACGAGATAAAGCACCTAAATTATTGGGATCGTCTCAAAGCTCTTCAAATGTACTCACTAGAAAGGAGACGAGAGAGATACCAAATAATATACACATGGAAAATACTGGAGGGACAGGTCTCAAATCTGCACAGTAAAATAACAACGTACTGGAGTGAACGACATGGAAGAAAATGCAGAATAGAACCAGTGAAGAGCAGAGGTGCCATGGGCACAATCAGAGAACACTGTATGAACATCAGAGGTCCACGGTTGTTCAACGTCCTACCAGCGAGCATCAGAAATATTACAGGAACAACTGTGGACATCTTCAAGAGGAAACTAGATTGTTTCCTTCAAGGAGTGCCGGACCAACCGGGCTGTGGTGGGTATGTGGGCCTGCGGGCCGCTCCAAGCAACAGCCTGGTGGACCAAACTCTCACAAGTCAAGTCTGGCCTCGGGCCGGGCTTGGGGAGTAGAAGAACTCCCAGAACCCCATCAACCAGGTATATAAAGGTAAAATCAGCCATTGATATATCTAATATCTATATATTTTGTCTAATTAAATATAATTAAACAAACGGAACATAAATGCTTACGAACGCTCACGAAGTCTTAAAAAGTATAGATGTTTACGAAGGGTCATGTAAAAGCAAGTGCACGCGCACACAACTTACTTAATATCTTCCTGGGTCATGTTTTCGTATTTTTTCCTTGTGTCGTCCGTGGGGTCGGGAATATGAACTTTCCAGTCGAAGGGCCTCCCCGTGGGCTGGTAGGGCTCCTGGGGCGGCGCCCTCTGCCAGTCCTTCCTGTAGATACAACACCCTGGCATATGTACTTTTACCAACGAGAGATGTATTAATAAAACATGATTGTGTAAATGACTAGTGTGGCTTAACTGTTGTCATGGTAACCGCCATGATTATAAAGGTCAGGATGTTCATGAGGTTCAATTATTTACATTTGCTTGGAACCTGAGGAATGAATAACGAAATTTATATTCAAAGCTAGTTTCCATTAGTAGAAAGGTGAATGCACGGAAGAGCGGGGTAATATACAACAACATCTCCTGCATGCATTATATCAATATACTAGTCAATATACCAAGATATTGACTAGACCAAGAATCAGTTCACTTAAAGATATAGTCACTGAAGCACTAACTCGGGACAGAAGAGCCTTTAATACCAACAGGTTGCAATAAACATTGTGCAACAAACACCATCAATACATTCAATACAACACATACAGCCACTGAGAGGGGGGTGTCGAGGAAATACATGCAGACTTCGTTATGCAAGCCCCTTGGGAATCGCTGCTAGCAAACTAATAGTATGGATCTTGAAGGAAAAAAATGAATTTCCTCCTCAGGACACACCAAGCCAAGCACCGTTCACTGCAGGAAGCACAACGCCCTCAGGTGGCGCTCTACATCACTCACTGAAAAACTTTGTTTTTGTCAACTCTGAACGACAGGAGACACGTGAGAGCGGCCCGACATCCCAGAACAACACGGCTGAGGTTTCTCCTCATCAACTACCTTCAATTTACGTTCTGAAACCTCACCCTCACCAGCGACTTATTTTCTTTTTTACTCTAATTTGAAGCCCATCATGAGTCATAAAGAGGGTACGATGATCCATATATGGATTAACAGCCATCATCATCAATGGAGAAGAAAGTCCTCAATGCGTTATATTTGTAGCAAATCTTTGTCAAATTATTATATGAAAAACAAAAAAAATTGACGCAATATTTGCAGAACGTTTATCCTCAATACAAGGACCAGGATAAAAGTCTTTTTTTATATCATGGGAAATACTCTCAAAAAGGTGAAACTGGACTCGACAGACATATTCCAATCACACGGATACTGAAGCTTCTTATGTTGTAGCAAAGAAGAAGAAAAACCACATACAATTGGAGAACTCTGATCAAACCTTGCACTCTCAAAATGGTGAACGTTGTGTTGTAAAGATGTGACAATTTCACTATCAAACAGTATACTGTTCAAAGGAGACCTTGCGTCATGGTCAGTGTAGCATCAAGGATTAAACTCTCGACTCACGACTTTTCAAGCAGCCAGAGTGCTGTACCACCCACAACCCAACCAGAGTGTACGTCCCTAGTCGTCATGACAACCTCTACAAGTCGTCATGACACCCCCTACAAGTCGTCATGACAACCTCTACAAGTCGTCATGACACCCCCTACAAGTCGTCATGACAACCCTACAAGTCGTCATGACAACCTCTACAAGTCGTCTTGACAACCTCTACAAGTCGTCATGACAACCTCTACAAGTCGTCATGACAACCCCTACAAGTCGTCATGGCAACCCTACAAGTCGTCATGGCAACCCTACAAGTCGTCATGACAACCTCTACAAGTCGTCATGACAACCTCTACAAGTCGTCATGACAACCTCTACAAGTCGTCATGACAACCTCTACAAGTCGTCATGACAACCTCTACAAGTCGTCATGACAACCTCTAATAGTCGTCTTGACCTCTAAAAGTCGTCTTGACAACCTCTACAAGTCGTCATGACAACCTCTAAAAGTCGTCTTGACAACCTCTAAAAGTCGTCTTGACAACCTCTAAAAGTCGTCTTGACAACCTCTAAAAGTCGTCATGACAACCTCTAAAAGTCATGACAACCTCTACAAGTCGTCATGACAACCTCTACAAGTCGTCATGACAACCTCTACAAGTCGTCATGACAACCTCTACAAGTCGTCATGACAACCTCTACAAGTCGTCATGACAACCTCTACAAGTCGTCATGACAACCTCTACAAGTCGTCATGACAACCTCTACAAGTCGTCATGACAACCTCTACAAGTCATGACAACCTCTACAAGTCGTCATGACAACCTCTACAAGTCGTCATGACAACCTCTACAAGTCATGACAACCTCTACAAGTCGTCATGACAACCTCTACAAGTCGTCATGGCAACCTCTACAAGTCGTCATGGCAACCCTACAAGTCGTCATGGCAACCCTACAAGTCGTCATGGCAACCCTACAAGTCGTCATGGCAACCCTACAAGTCGTCATGGCAACCCTACAAGTCGTCATGGCAACCCTACAAGTCGTCATGGCAACCCTACAAGTCGTCATGACAACCCTACAAGTCGTCATGACAACCCTACAAGTCGTCATGACAACCCTACAAGTCGTCATGACAACCCTACAAGTCGTCATGACAACCCTACAAGTCGTCATGACAACCCTACAAGTCGTCATGGCAACCCTACAAGTCGTCATGGCAACCCTACAAGTCGTCATGGCAACCCTACAAGTCGTCATGGCAACCCTACAAGTCGTCATGGCAACCCTACAAGTCGTCATGACAACCCTACAAGTCGTCATGACAACCTCTACAAGTCGTCATGACAACCTCTACAAGTCGTCATGACACCCCTACAAGTCGTCATGGCAACCCTACAAGTCGTCATGGCAACCCTACAAGTCGTCATGACACCCCTACAAGTCGTCATGGCAACCCTACAAGTCGTCATGGCAACCCTACAAGTCGTCATGGCAACCCTACAAGTCGTCATGGCAACCTTACAAGTCGTCATGACACCCCTACAAGTCGTCATGGCAACCCTACAAGTCGTCATGGCAACCCTACAAGTCGTCATGGCAACCCTACAAGTCATGACAACCCTACAAGTCGTCATGACAACCTCTACAAGTCGTCATGGCAACCTCTACAAGTCGTCATGACAACCTCTACAAGTCGTCATGACAACCTCTACAAGTCGTCATGACAACCTCTACAAGTCGTCATGACAACCTCTACAAGTCGTTATGACAACCTCTACAAGTCGTCATGACAACCTCTACAAGTCGTCATGACAACCTCTACAAGTCGTCATGACAACCTCTACAAGTCGTCATGACAACCTCTACAAGTCGTCATGACAACCTCTACAAGTCGTCATGACAACCTCTACAAGTCGTCATATCAACCTCTACAAGTCGTCATGACAACCTTACAAGTCCTCACAGACAACCTGCAAACCTCATCAGGTTTGCAGCAACACGCCACACCTGCAGTCCCCATGCCGTTAGGTGTGGAACTATTAACCCGTATACTCGCCTGTAAACCAAAAGTCTCCCATACACTCCATCAAATTTCTACGAACTACGATTTGTAAGAGACATCGTGTGCGTTAGCAATCACGGGATTCAACTACACGTAGCCTCGCCTCAAAGAGACATTTGATTCACTCTCAGGTGTTTTGACGTTCAAGCCTACCGCCACAGCGGTCGACTCGGCCAGCTCACTTACAAAGGCAGGGTGCTGGGCCCCTCGGCCTGCTGCTGCTGGGGGAGCTTCCAGAGGCTGGCCGTAGGGTCGTTAGAGGGTAGTGGCTTCTTCGGTACTTGGTCATCGAACGCCCCGAGACGCAGGGTGGTCCTGGGTCTGTTAAGCTGCTGCTTCCTGAGGCGGGGGACATCCAGGCTGTGGGACATGCATCGTCAAGCACTGTGTTAGAAGCTTGTGATTATATCGTCAATATGCACAGAGTCCGATTATAACAAAATACAAACATGCGTATATATGCATATAAAAAGTATATACAATTATAATATACATATGTACCTAATAGCCAAAGCCACAATACTAGTACGTGTCTAAGCAAGCATGGCTCATTTTGCCTAACAGCCAGAGAGATTTTGCTTGTTACAAATTTCTTTCGAAATTAGTTCACAAACAATACAGCCTCCTGTATAAATAGTACTTTGTGTAGCTCTATGGACCATCGTACATACACAGACGTAATGGATAATAAGATAATAGAATTTGGTACCATTCACTTTTGCAAGTCCGAAAAAAATAAAGCTGAAAACCAACATTAAATATTCCTAAGCCTTAGATACCGTGTTTTAGGCCTAGGAAGGTTAGATTAAGCTAGATTTTCTTTGCAACATGAGGATAAAACTTTTCCGGTTTGTCCAAATTCAATGGTACCGATTTCTACTTTTTAATTGTCTTTAACGGCAATATATGAAACGATGGTCCTAATCGTTACTATAAGCCCTACCTAAACAGGAAGATGGTGGCCTAGTTAATAATATACTAACATGCACAATTACATCACAATACCGTACGCATCTTCGGTCAGGTTACTAATTTATTTTCATCGAAACTCATGCATATCAAAAAGCTCTTAATTCCACAAGAGAAACTATTTGAAAATATTTGTATTTGAGAAAATATGGCTTGTTAAGCAACTGTGTACTACTAGGTGTGTGTATGTGTGTGGTCATACATATAGTTACAGAAATACCATGACAAATAACACGTCAGGTCAATATGTTTATCATAACAAGTGATCACAACCAAGGTGATGTATTGACGACAAGCAGGAAACACAACCGGGTTAACACGTCCACAACACCACCAACTGTGTGCAGATGATGGTCACAATAACGTGGCTGAAGAAATGATGACCAAACCCCACACCAGAAAAATAAACCACGACGTTTCGGTCCATCCTGGACCGAAATGTCGATCCAACACAATCGACTTTATAATGGTCTAGGATGGACCGAAACGTCGTCGTTTCATCATTATCTTCTAGTGTGTTGTTTGGTCATCACCAGCAGCTGTGTCGAGAGCTATGGAGCTTGTAGTGTATATGTATAGAACCGCTTACCTGCTGGAACTAAAGTGCAATGGTTTTACACGCATACTTTCACCAGACGACCGTACTTTGCACAAGTGAGAAAGGCATGTGTAAACATTAGCAGTGGACAGAGTATGGGTACAGTGTGGACAGTGCGGGCATTCTGTGGACGTGATATGGACAGACTACAGGCGAGTGAGCTTATCAGTGGGTAGCCTAGTCGACGAGAACGCACTTTGGGTGCGTGCCTGAGGAAACTCTGGACTGACAATTACCTCACACACTCACCCAATAGTCATAACGATCAATGATTACAGTACCTGTGTGCGTAACTCGCAAGTTTCCATGAAGCCCCTCTTCTGTGTTGATCATGTAAGCCAGGGAGCTATATTCACGACAGGCTGTAACCAATATGAGTCTTCCTTTCACATGGTTAATGTCACTTGTTGTATCTTGCACAACACGCTGTAATTTGACTAGTCTGTTCCTCTTTCACTTAAGTATAAATCCAATCAAACAACGAGTTCATCCATCACACAGCCAGTTCAGCCGTTATACATTCAATTTAGCAACCACAGCACGCTTGTGATTGCTAACAGACCATTTGTCTCACAGCTAGTCAAGTCTGTAAGCGAGACAGCAGCACACACCATCACTAAACCAGCAAACCACACGCTAAACCAGTCGTCATGCACAATCCAATCAGCTTCGCAGGAAATCAACTTAGCATTGCAGTCAACTGAGCAACACGTCAATCAACCAAACTCTAAGACAGTTAACTAAGGGCCAACCCCTTCAATGAAGTTTCAAAGCAGTCAACCAAGCATTAAGCCAGTAAGCAAGGCACCAAGCTCGCAGGTTAAGCCAGCCACCCAGCCTAGTTGAGAGGGAGGACATTGGTCTCCCGCAAAAGCCACCTACCCGCTTGTGGGTGCAGCCAGCTCGTGGGGGTCCGGTAGAGGTTTCGGCCGCTTTCTGTCTTCACCGTTTTTGGCCATTTTCAGGGGTGTAGTTGGGCTAATTGGCAATTGAACAGAGTCGGGTTGTTAGTAAGTATTCATATATCAAATATACTGAACGTCCTCTACTCAGCCTCCTGTTATAGCTAATGTTCCCTCTGAATGCCCTCTACTCTTAATTACACAATCTACGTGCTTACCCACACTGTGTGGGATACTCAGTGTCTGCTTGATATTATAAGACAATACAATGGTGTACTCTTACTGAATACGAGTAGCTACAGCCTAGTGTATCTGTTATATACAGTTGCAGAATTATACACTGAGGGTCTTTGTGTCCATACACTATATTGTAACATACAACAACAACTAACAGCACATACAGGTTGGTACTAGATACTACACAAAATATATTCACCGTTCTGTGAAACTCTTATTATATTTCGAAACTAAATTATTACGTCTCAAAAAATTACATTTTGTGCATATATCGTACATATTGTCTGACGTCCCTCTTCACAACACTCAAAGCAATCAGTCCTCTTAAAACTAATGTCGTTTTTCGCTCGTGCGCACGCTATGGCCAAACATGGACATAATTTGAAATGAAATCGGCTCACGAAAGTGATGTACTGTCCTGTTTTTTATGTGAGGTGTCTCGCTTACTCGGAAAGGTTAGGACAGGAAACTTTCAATTAACATTTTTCGTGACTTTGAAACTTTAAGAGAACTTTCTGCCCTCCTAGCCTACCAGAGGACTCTTAACTTACTGTTTTGAAAAAAAAATCCCAAATTTATTAAAAAATTTCATCTTCAACTTACGTCCATTTTTGGCCATACGGGACAAATTTAGACGTAATTTGTAAGATGATAGGTTGCATAAAGAGCGTTAACAACAGATTACTCTTATTACACTTGGGCTGGACGGTAGTGACGGTATCGCTTCATGCAGGTCAGCGTTCAATCCCCGACCGTCCACAAGCGGTTGCGGCACCATTCCTTCCCCTCCCCTGCCCCCCTCCCCCCCCCACCTAGACCCACCCCAAATTCTTATCCCTTCCAAGTGCTATGTAGTCATAATGGCTTGGACGCTTTCCCCCGATAGTTGCTTCCCTTCTTACTTTCGTAGTGTACAGACATATTTAACATCCAGTCAGTTCTCTATTTCATACAATGTATGACACTACCTAGAATCTAGATATTTGTAACAAACCCTATTTCTGCAGAAATTCTGTATTTATGTAAAATATACACACGTTATATATTGTAAACTCTACATATGTGTGATTGTGTGTGCCAGGAGACAAATAATCCCTTAATGATTGTGTTTAGGTATCAATATTGCATATCAGGTAATTTTTAAGTTACCTGATATAATAATTAAATAATCTAATTAATAAGGTAATAATTTAAAAAATCTACACATTTTGGCAGCATGACAAAAGGTTGTGCCATACAGTGCCACAACTTGCTTAACTTTCAACTGTGAAATGTTCAATGAATATGGTGATATATTGTTGATAAACATTATTCATCGTTATTGAAAACGTTATTGAAACGTTTTTGAAAACGGTTTGTGTGTTTTATTATAGATGAGGTAAACGTTATCGTCCGTTCCCGTCCGGTGTGCGATCTACAAGCAAACTAGTAGTTCCCAACACTATATTCAGGACAAAAATATACTTGCTGATTTTCTTCAGTAATCTTTTGTGGTGGACTTAATAATCCTCCTGTGGTTGATGGCTTTTAGCCCAACACTAAACCAAATAACAGTTAACTGTTACAAGTTAGTCTATGTTTGTCAAATATTATAGATGACAAATTGCTGATTTTCCACAAGTGTTAAATTTCGGCCGATTGATTCACAATTTCATTATCTGACTTACTCTATTTAGAGTTCCATTGATCAACCGGTTAGACCAAATCAGCTCACTTGGGAGTTTCTTGGTACTGCAAAGAGGTGATCATTTCCACCACCACACTTTGATGGTGGATTAACTTATGATATAGTTCGTGAATAACTTAGGATTGTTCCCCGACTGTCATATTGATAGATGAAATACGATTAAGAATGTCACAATTATGCATTTGACATCTTAAGAGTTAGGAATTGATTTACATTATGCAAATTATTCACATCGTCATTAATTTCAATCGATACTTGTGTTGTAGTAACAATACTCACTGGTGTTTAGTCTTTGATTGCAGTGTCTCTGCTTGCTCAGGAATGGATCAGTTTCACATAACCAGTGAAGCAAATAACTTTTGAATCGATCATTAATTCAATATCGAAATATCAACTTTTAAGTTGCATTCTGCCATCACACCCCCCAGTAGGTAGTAGTTGGGAACCCAGGTGACACTGATATAATTCAAACAACAGAGGTAAATCATCCTAATGAAAGATACATACATAATGGCATAACCAGACATATGCCTGGTTATGCCATTATGTATCTGGTGACACACAGCTCTGCGCCTGCTGGTGACATATTTTTAGCTCTGCACCTAATGGTGACACCCCCATCTATAGCTCTCATCCTTATATTGACCTCCCATTATAGATATTATATATACTTATATGCAAAAAGATTACTTACTCAGTAAAGAACTTATTGGGTTTCTGGGCAGCCAAGAAGGAAGCATCGGACTTGAGCGCGTTGAAACCGAAGTCATCGTTGGGAAACAGTCTGTAAAGAGGAAGCAGAGTGAGCACAGGCCTGCAGGGAGGGAGGAGAGACAACACCATCCTGCAGAACTCAACTACCAACAGAAACAATGGCTCTGAGATGGAGGACACTGAACAAGGGGACATAGAAAGACGAGACACAATTAGGGGCGCAAGGAAAGTGAGAGAAAACTGGGGATGAGGGGTATGAAGGGAGAGCGAGCTACGAGGCCTTATATACGTAATCATGCGAGTCACTCATTCCTCACAGTGTCTAAATCATACAATACTATTGTGTGTGTGTGGTGTATGATGATTATTATACTGGGACAGCTGGAGCAAGATGAGAACTTCTACCCAAGTCTTGGGTTTCACTCTCACCTTAATATTAGTGACACAGTTGGAATGTTTTCTTCGATGATGTCTGGGGTGTTGTGAGGTTATTCTGAATTTGTTGCTTGCTCAATTACAAGTAAATAAATGGCCCTGATTTGATTTATAATGAGTGATTGTCAACAATGTGTGGCTCAGAAGAGCCAAGATCTTGCTCACAAAACCCACCGTTGCCTTGGGGGTTCTTGCACCCTGGGAGGTTCCTGAACCCTAGGAGGTTCCGGAATCCTAGGGGGCTCTTGAAATCTTGGGGCTTCTTGAAAACTGGGGGGATCTTGACCCTTGGAGGGCTTGATGAGTCGAGCGTCCAGACCAGTGTCGACACTAGACGTTGGAGCAGTTTCATACATGTCAGCCGCAAACTTCTTCGTCTGCGCTTTCTTCGCCTTCCTGTCTTCCTCGGCCTGCTTCTGTATCGCCTCCATCTGCTTGAGCTGAGCTTCTCGACGCCGGGATTGCTGTGGAGTCAAGACCTGGTTATTTGCCGATCAACAGTGTGATGCAGCCCACGATATCTTAAATGAAAACCCGATGGCATACTTGTATGTTTGGTATGATCATCTTGCAGGTCTAACAAACTAGGACTCGCTAGCCTACTACACCATTAATATACGAAATATGGATTGTTGTACTGAAAATGTTAACGTTTTGTACTTTTCACTTTGTTATAGGCACATTGAGAGAGAGAATGGTGATCCTTCAGCTCGAGTAATACCCTATGGCTGCAGTGCTGTTCACCGAACATTGGTTATCGGCCTATATCCAAGGATACAAGTACCTTGTGTTGGATGTCTACGTACAAGTACCTTGTGTTGGATGTCTACGTACAAGTACCTTGTGTTGGATGTCTACGTACAAGTACCTTGTGTTGGATGTCTACGTACAAGTACCTTGTGTTGGATGTCTACGTACAAGTACCTTGTGTTGGATGTCTACGTACAAGTACCTTGTGTTGGATGTCTACGTACAAGTACCTTGTGTTGGATGTCTACGTACAAGTACCTTGTGTTGGATGTCTACGTACAAGTACCTTGTGTTGGATGTCTACGTATCATTGTCAGTTCAGATGTAGAGTGTGTGTAGTGATATACGACGTCTGGTTATACTAGCAGATGACAGTTTATACATCTCATCTGTGTAATTATGGGTGGATCTCATCGTCATTTTCAATGGAGGAACAGAGTACCGGGTAGCTGGGAAGGGTCACATCAGATCTGACCTTTGCCAACCGTTTCGGTAACTCCTCCTCCACCAATCTAGTCACGTCAGAGGAATCCATAGTTCACCCAATCATATTCTAGTGATGGTAGAAACTGCATTCTGATTGGTGCTCTATATGGAGGCTTCTAACTTAAGTGAAGTGAGCTCAGCTAGCTCACCCTTAGCTCTCATCACCTCTTTCTCGATGAAGCTGTGAGCGAGACAAGACACCAACTCCAAATAGAGCTCTGGCGTCCTATCACCCCTCTAAGGTACAAGTACCAACTCCAGATGCATCCTGTGAGAGATGACTCGCGATGGTAGACTACTCATTTTCATCGACGGCTAACAAGATGAAACGCACGTATGAATATGTGGTGTGGATGTTAGCAAATACTCCATCCCTCGGAGTGCTGGTTCTTGACCGTGCACGTGTTTATGAAAGTAATTTTTGTATTTTTATTTATATAGACAAGAGTTTCTTACATTCTTGTACAGTCACTAGCACGCATAGCGTTTCGGGCTGGTCCTTAATCGTAATTTTTCACCGGAATACGACCCCGCCAAATCGTTTAACAACCAGGTACCCATTCACTGCTGGGTGAACAAAGGCTACAGTTAAGGATTGGCGCCCAGTAAATCCTCCCCGGCCTGGATACGAACCCTTGACAAAGCGCCCAGCGAGTGTTGTACCACTGTGCCACGGGGACCACATTTAAAACAACAAATGTCATGTATTTATGTTTATTTACAACACATGTCAGTTACCTATGCATGCGGCAGTGGTGTAAGGCAGCCGTCTTACCAATGTTAAGTTAACAAATCCACAAGGGCCGTGACAAGGGTTTGAACTTACGCCAAGAAGTTACCTTGAGGTTACCTAGAAGTTACCTAGGTTACCTTGAAGTGATTTTGGGGCTCAGCAACCCCGCGGCCCGGTCGTCAACCAGGCCTCCTCGTTGCTGGACTGGTCAACCAGGTTGTTGAACGCGGACGATCCCAGACGCTGCCTAGATTTGTTCATTTGATGCATCACACTATTGTGATTTCGGTGTGTAATGTTAGGTTGCATTACTTCACTTGGATATCGTTTGCAAGAGACCGATACAGTATACAGATTTCTCCATGACACCTCTTAAAGATAATTATCCTCATCTTCATGCGTATATATATTGTTTTAATTTTATGTTTAATAAATTAGATGTTATGCACATTTTGTTATGGGAAATCCTTTCTCCCTCATATTTACCAGCTCGCCGTATTGGTCTCAAACTGATCCTCCACCTATACTAGCCCTATATTACATTTTGATGAGCCGATAATCTTCATTTCCCTGTACCACCAGGTCGAGATCAGACTCGACCTGTATCTGGCAAGATCTCAAAATCTTGTGCCTGTTGCTCTAGGCATTTTACGTTGTTGACAGCTGTTGTGAGCAGCTGGCATTCCTGCCCTTATCAACTGCACAATTTAGCAGCGTAGAATTTCTTATTTACTTTCCGCCCTGTATAGGTTAAGGTTAGGCTGCTTCAGCTTTTGTACCCTCAAACAATCCAATACTAACAAACCCTGCTACGGAATCACCATAGCCCGTGCTACTTGGCACTTTTGTTCCGAGTAGCTGAATCTATAACATACAAACTTATATTATTTGTACACCAGTCCACATTTTGAACATTCCTTCCATAGTAGTTATTGGTATTATAATTTTTAAGGGATGGGCAGCATATGCTTGGCGTGTTCTCTAGTAACCTCTGCTATGCGTCTGACAAGCGTTCTAGCATTACCAGCCTATACACTACGTAAATATCACAGATAAGTAAGTAATTATGAAAAGAAGTCACCAAGCCGGGAAGGCTATGTAGCAAATATCACAGGTAGCCTATTATATGCCTTTCTCCTCCCTCTACCTGATGTGACAAATACCACTTGCCCCTATTCCTTAGGTGACAAGTACCTCTTAATTATTTCTTAGGTGACAAGTACCTCTTAATTATTCCTTAAATACATCTTACCTCTTCCTCCTTCCGCCTTTTCTTCTCCTGTTCGGCTTCAAATTCCTGCTTCATCTTCTCCTGTTGCCTCCTGATACTTTCCTCGTACAGCAAGTCCTCCTGATCTCTCTTCTGTTTCCTCTCCATATCCAACTGTTTCTTCATATCGAGCTGCCACTGCAGCTCCTCGCGTGTGTACTCCTTCTTGGCTGCATTCATCGCCTCCATCTCCTCCGAAGTCTGTCAGAGCGACACACGTCAGTAAGCCTCAACCATACATTCATATTGTGTGTAAATCACGAAAATTAACACGTGATGAAAAATGTGACAGTGTGAAACCACGAAGGAAGAATTGAAACAGGATTCATTCTTTCTGAAGATGTATTATTATATACGAAAGTACTTGAGGAAATTTCTGTTTCAATTCTTCCTTCGTGGTCTAACACTCACATTCATATTATCTAATTACCCTACGGCAGAGATCATTCGTTGTGACTATTGTTAACTCATGTTTTTTTTCTGAATAAAATATAAATTTAATACTAATATTAACCAGACCACACACACTAGAAGTTGAAGGGACGACGACGTTTCGGTCCGTCCTGGACCATTCTCAAGTCGATTGACTTAATGTCAATTGAATGTAGATTACGTATGTAGAGAATTGTAGATTACGATATCGATTGACGATATCGCCTTGAGAATGGTCCAGGACGGACCGAAACGTCGTCGTCCCTTCAACTTCTAGCGTGTGGTTTGGTCAACATACTTCAGCCACGTTATTGTGACTCATCGCCTGCTTATTACTAATAGTTTCTTCTGACTATAGCCCATATAAATAGGGTAATATTTCATAAATAATAAATTATAAAAGTGCATATGACATCACGTGTCATATGCTTAGGAGTGTTCCTTGGGAGGGCGGACATTAGAAGCCTACAACTACTGAAGAGGAACCTAAGTAAAAAAAAAAAGGTATTTTTCTATACTCTTCAATGTGGTGATTATCTCTGCATTGTCGCATTTTTGGTATTAGTATTACCATATTATGATACGTTTTATAATGTTTATGATACATTTGGTATCCTAGTATCCCAGTCGAAGCCTAACGCCGCCAGGCTCCGAATGTGTCCACGTATTCTATTAAGTTTATCAACACATTTGCGGGTTACTAAATGTAACAAACATTATAAAACGTATCCAAATATCGTTAATTTGTAATATCCTAGCGTGACCCAGTCATCTTTATGACCATAATGCCAGAACTTATGACCAACGATTACTGCTTGTCCATGTCTCGATGCTCTTGGTGAATTTGCATTTTATATATACAGTGAATATCTTATTACAGCCGATAACTTACTGACAAGTAAATTATCAGGTAGTGCATGGACTGGACCCGGATGTGACTAAAAACGTCCATGAAATGTTGGAAAATTACACTTTAAACTATTATTAAACAAATACATTACAAATCTAGAATGAGCAACAAATCTAGAATGAGATGTGAAATGAAACTATTTTGGGATCAGTTGCTCTAAGTGGTGTTAGATTCTTGGGACTGACTGAATGAGGTGAGATATGAGGCCAAGTGGAATTAGATGTACCAAGCTGCTTTAGACAGCAGGCAGGGGTGACAACGTAATCAAGTCTACATCTCTAACCCAGGTGCTACATTACATTTGTTCATGATGCTGTCAGCGACTTTAAACTGTACAGTCATGGCAGGCTTCTTGATACCTGGAGAATGGTTGAGGTGGATGAGAGTACTAATTATCTAGCTTCACTGGCCATTGAATGACATTATCTTACTTCTATTACAGGAAAAACCACGGCGGAATGGTTCAAGAGGTCTTACCATGGTGGCGTGAGGCCGGATGATTGTGCGCTGAGGCCCTGCTTGATATGGGTCGTTATAGCTAGGAGACGGAGAAAGAGAGACTTGAGATGATTTGGTGTGGTTCAGGGGGGGAGGGCGTGGTTCAGGGGGGGGGAGGGCGTGGTTCAGGGGGGGGGAGGGCGTGGTTCAGGGGGGGGAGGGCGTGGTTCAGGGGAGGAGGGCGTGGTTCAGGGGGGGGGAGGGCGTGGTTCAGGGGGGAAGGGCGTGGTTCAGGGGGGAAGGGCGTGGTTCAGGGGGGGGAGGGCGTGGTTCAGGGGGGGAGGGCGTGGTTCAGGGGGGAGGGCGTGGTTCAGGGGGGGGAGGGCGTGGTTCAGGGGGGGGGGGAGGGCGTGGTTCAGGGGGGGGGGGAGGGCGTGGTTCAGGGGGGGGGGGGGGGGCGTGGTTCAGGGGGGGGAGGGCGTGGTTCAGGGGGGGGAGGGCGTGGTTCAGGGGGGGGAGGGCGTGGTTCAGGGGGGGGAGGGCGTGGTTCAGGGGGGGAGGGCGTGGTTCAGGGGGGGAGGGCGTGGTTCAGGGGGGGAGGGCGTGGTTCAGGGGGGGAGGGCGTGGTTCAGGGGGGGAGGGCGTGGTTCAGGGGGGGGGGGAGGGCGTGGTTCAGGGGGGGGGAGGGCGTGGTTCAGGGGGGGAGGGCGTGGTTCAGGGGGGGAGGGCGTGGTTCAGGGGGGGAGGGCGTGGTTCAGGGGGGGGAGGGCGTGGTTCAGGGGGGAGGGCGTGGTTCAGGGGGGAGGGCGTGGAGAGTTACTATTTGTCTGAGACTAAGAGAATAGCATAGTGCACGTGCTTTGCTTCTTGTTACTGGTGCTTCTGTATGTTTGAGTGCCATAGTCATGGTTGCACTTGCCTATATGTGGTTTGTAGGTTAAGCTCCAGCTCCAGAGCCATTGCCCTTTCTCTTGTTATTCCTGTACTTGAAACTGTGATGGAGATAAGGTTGTCTTTCTAGATTATTCTACATGTTCGTTATTTCTATAAAGTGCCTCCTTATGGCTTATTTTGGTTTCTAGTTTCCATCAATGTCCTCTCATTGTACTCTTGTTAATTCAAAATATTTAAATTTTGTTCATTTTTTGTTTAAATATGCCTCATAGTTCAATTCTCTTTTTGCGGGCTATTCATGCCCGTGCCACCTCTTGGGTGGCTTAATCTTCATCAATCAATCAATCCTCTTAGTTCATGGACCAGCCGAGAAGCACACCCTTGAACTTTCTTTAGTCTATTTTTAGACGCGGAATCTGCACCACATCCAAAATGTGATCCACCTCATATTCTAGTACTGATCTAGCATAGTAAGTGTTAACGTCTAGGAGAATTCCTTGTCCAGAACCCTGGAGGATTAAATGGGATTCTTGCATTGTCATTTGATATGTACTCACTGAAATTGTGCGCCCCCTTGAGGGACTTGAAGTAGAAATAGCCTAAGCTACTCTATCCCTTTGAGATGTATTTTCTTGTCTCAATAAACGTACTTGAACTTGATCCTGAAGGAGACTTGACTTTTTGAGGTTATCGTGAGTTGATTTCGGGGCTTTATTGTCCCCGCGGCCCGGTCCTCGACCAGGCCTCCACCCCCAGGAAGCAGCCCGTGACAGCTGACTAACTCCCAGGTTCCTTTGCTGAAATAAAAGGTTGTCCGACCCTTATGTTATATTGTCCTTGGGACCTCCACCGCCCTCGTCGCCATTTATATAAACTTGCACTGACTGACTTTGAAGTCAAGTAGCCATTGCTCACATCTGTTCTCTATAATTTGTCCAGGTCGTCCTGGTGGAATTGTCTGACCCAGTTCAACACAGCGTTACTCCATGTACCATCTCACGTGTGTATAAAAGCCTTAAGTGCAGCACAGTGTGGAAATGTTTATTTAAATTCACGAAGATGCGATTAATACATTCCTTTCTTTTTCTGTTTGATTATCATGATCTTGACATGGAAACTCTAGGAGGTTTGTCAGCCAGGATGTTCTTGCTGTCAATTGTATGTTTGATATAGCTCCTTTGGTGTGTGTGTGTGTACTCACCTAGTTGTGTGTGTGTGTACTCACCTAGTTGTGTGTGTGTGTACTCACCTAGTTGTGTGTGTGTGTACTCACCTAGTTGTGTGTGTGTGTACTCACCTAGTTGTGTGTGTGTGTACACAATTATTTTATATAATTCATGATATTAAACACATTTTTAACGAGAAATATCATGTTTACTAATATGAAACAAGGACCTACTAAACTATAAATCAAATTATATCAGAATCTGTCCAGGCATTAAGCCTTGACAAGTTATTATAAATCCAGACAGTCGTCCTAGAGTTTCTAACCTTCTCACCATCACCTGAGTTCAGAGGTACACCAAGTACAGCCAACTTACCTGGACGGCACGTAGCCCCCAGCATAGGGTCCAGGATTATAGGCATTGCCTCCGCCATAGTTACCAGGACCATAGTTGCCACCGCCGTAGTTACTAGGACCATAACTGCCACCGCCATAGTTAGCAGGCCCATAATTGCCTCCGCCGTAGTTAGCAGGCCCATAATTGCCTCCGCCATAACTGTCGACACCACCACCGTAGTTCCCGCCACCATAATTGGAAGGCCCGCCGTAGCCACCATCGCCAAAGCTGCCACCACCATACCTGCCACCCTTGTCCTTGACTGTGGCAGCCGTCTCTTTGACAACCACCTTCCTTCGCCCTGCCGACATCAGAGATAAACACAAACATTAATACATTTTCATTTCAGCATGACTATACCTCCCTTGTGCCTTGACCCACTCACGGATTTGAATACGTGAATCAGCGAACACCAATAACCACATCTCAACTGACATCTTAGGTACTTGGAAACAAAATTAATCTTTATATAGTGAGGGTTCGATAGATACATTCACCTGTCCGGGAAGACAGGTGGCGCTCACGTCAGTTATACGCGCCAGGCTTCACCTGCGCCGCGCGCGAAGTCTCACCTGCGCCGCGCGTAGGGCTGCTGACTGAAGGCTCGTAGGTGTCGGGAACGCCCATGGCGGCGTCGATCCTGCGCTCCTCGGCCTTCTGCAGCTCCTTGGCCAACGCCCTCGCCGCCTCCTGCTGCTTCAGGTCCTCCATGGCCATCTTACTCCGCTGCTGACGGAGTGCCTTCAGGTGACCTGTCAACACATGCAATATATATCTTTCTTCCTGCCAACACCTGTCTCACACGCACACACGTGGTCCCCTGTGGGTATGTCAAACAGTAGATCTAACGTGCCGCAAGTTATAACCAAATTATTGTTTAACAGTGACAGATGTTGCGTAAACACCAGCGCCTGTCACTCAACCCCCTTACACCCGTCACTCAACCCCCTTACACCCGTCACTCAACCCCCTTACACCCGTCACTCAACCCCCTTACACCCGTCACTCACCCCCCTTACACCCGTCACTCAACCCCCTTACACCCGTCACTCAACCCCCTTACACCCGTCACTCAACCCCCTTACACCCGTCACTCAACCCCCTTACACCCGTCACTCAACCCCCTTACACCCGTCACTCACCCCCCTTACACCCGTCACTCACCGCTCTCGTCGAAGACAGAAGAGATGGTGTGCATGTATCTGTTCTGGGCGGCGTCTTGTCTACTGGAGCGGTTGTCAGCCATCCAGGGCACCGAACCCCCGACCCCCCGAAGCCTCTCCAGACCCCCACCTTCCTGTAACGTCCAAACCGACTCATCATCATCATCATCAATACCATCATTACATAATTATTATCGGGACAAGCTTGGCGAGGGCTGCTTACAGCCTATCTACATAACAATACAAGCAGTATTGGCAATGAATGAGGTAGAAAGAGCTAGGAATGAGATAGTGAGGGCTGGGAATGGGATAGTGAGGGGCTGGGAATGGAATAGTGAGGGGCTGGGAATGGGATAGTGAGGGCTGGGAATGAGATAGGGCTGGGAATGGGATAGTGAGGGGCTGGGAATGGAATAGTGAGGGGCTGGGAATGGGATAGTGAGGGCTGGGAATGGGATAGTGAGGGGCTGGGAATGGGATAGTGAGGGGCTGGGAATGGGATAGTGAGGGCTGGGAATGGGATAGTGAGGGCTGGGAATGGGATAGTGAGGGCTGGGAATGGGATAGTGAGGGCTGGGAATGGGATAGTGAGGGCTGGGAATGGGATAGTGAGGGCTGGGAATGGGATAGTGAGGGGCTGGGAATGGGATAGTGAGGGGCTGGGAATAGGATAGTGAGGGGCTGGGAATGGGATAGTGAGGGGCTGGGAATGGGATAGTGAGGGCTGGGAATGGGATAGTGAGGGCTGGGAATGGGATAGTGAGGGCTGGGAATGGGATAGTGAGGGCTGGGAATGGAATAGTGAGGGGCTGGGAATGGGATAGTGAGGGCTGGGAATGGGATAGTGAGGGCTGGGAATGGGATAGTGAGGGCTGGGAATGGGATAGTGAGGGGCTGGGAATGGGATAGTGAGGGGCTGGGAATGGGATAGTGAGGGGCTGGGAATGGGATAGCGAGGGGCTGGGAATGGAATAGTGAGGGGCTGGGAATGGAATAGTGAGGGGCTGGGAATGGAATAGTGAGGGGCTGGGAATGGAATAGTGAGGGGCTGGGAATGGAATAGTGAGGGGCTGGGAATGGAATAGTGAGGGGCTGGGAATGGAATAGTGAGGGCTGGGAATGGGATAGTGAGGGCTGGGAATGGGATAGTGAGGGCTGGGAATGGGATAGTGAGGGCTGGGAATGGGATAGTGAGGGCTGGGAATGGGATAGTGAGGGCTGGGAATGGGATAGTGAGGGCTGGGAATGGGATAGTGAGGGCTGGGAATGGAATAGTGAGGGCTGGGAATGGGATAGTGAGGGCTGGGAATGGGATAGTGAGGGGCTGGGAATGGGATAGTGAGGGGCTGGGAATGGGATAGTGAGGGCTGGGAATGGGATAGTGAGGGGCTGGGAATGGGATAGTGAGGGGCTGGGAATGGGATAGTGAGGGGCTGGGAATGGGATAGTGAGGGGCTGGGAATGGGATAGTGAGGGGCTGGGAATGGGATAGTGAGGGGCTGGGAATGGGATAGTGAGGGGCTGGGAATGGGATAGTGAGGGGCTGGGAATGGGATAGTGAGGGCTGGGAATGGGGTAGTGAGGGCTGGGAATGGGATAGTGAGGGCTGGGAATGGGATAGTGAGGGCTGGGAATGGGATAGTGAGGGGCTGGGAATGGAATAGTGAGGAGCTGGGAATGGGATAGTGAGGACTGGGAATGAGATAGTGAGGGCTGGGAATGGGATAGTGAGGGCTGGGAATGGGATAGTGAGGGCTGGGAATGGGATAGTGAGGGCTGGGAATGGGATAGTGAGGGCTGGGAATGGGATAGTGAGGGCTGGGAATGGGATAGTGAGGGCTGGGAATGAGATAGTGAGGACTGGGAATGAGATAGTGAGGGCTGGGAATGGGATAGTGAGGGCTGGGAATGGGATAGTGAGGGCTGGGAATGGGATAGTGAGGGCTGGGAATGAGATAGTGAGGGCTGGGAATGGGATAGTGAGGGCTGGGAATGGGATAGTGAGGGCTGGGAATGGGATAGTGAGGGCTGGGAATGGGATAGTGAGGCCTAGGAGGACTCACCATCACACCGTTGATGTCTCCTTCACTATAGGCAGCACGGAGCCCTGCGGAACTCAGTCTGGCTACTCTGCAACATAAATAAGCACATGTTCAGGCCTGTTTTTGCTAACTGCTAATTGTATTTCACTTGCTTAGCATCATGAGTGAGGAAGTGTTCACAGGCTGTCACTCTCAAGGGCCTAACACACACGTCTTGTTCTCGGTTTGGCTTGTTCATGTTCTCTCACATCTGGTGGTGAGCTAAATGTCCGCTCTTCAAGTTCAAGTACGTTTTTAGAGACAAGAAAATACATCTCAAAGGAATAAAAGTAGCTTAGGCTATTTTTACCCCCAACCCCCCCGTCCGCTCTTATTAAGCTCATATAAAACTTTGGTCATGTAAATGCACCATCAATTGAAATAACTTCTCAAGATTGTTTACATTTATAAAACCATAACCTGTACAGTGAAGGATTTGAACCCCCTCTACACACCCACACAACCCGCTCCTTTCTCCAAGCAGTCTGATGAAGCCTTCAACGTAAGCATTTCCACCAACATTCTCACTCTCATGGAAAAAATCTGCTGGAGCTGTCTTCAGCGTTACTGCAATCCCCGTCCTCCTAATAGAGCGTCGCATTTTGACGTACACTCTACCAAAAGGCCAAAAATCGTCGTACTGGAAAATGGAAGGGGCTGGCGAAATTGACATACTATCCCGTTTTCTGTTTTGGGTCCTCTGGTAGGTTGGGATATGGGCACTTTAGTACGACAGTTTCTTGACGTTGGGGAACTTTAGGAGGACGGGCTGGTTACTTTCTCAGATTCAACTTTCATGTGTCGTTTTCCACATTAGACAAATAGTTTTTGTTTATGTGATTGGATATGCTTCAAAAGACATGCCAATGATCGTTTCTTATTGTAGTTCCCCCTAGCACACTTAACATCTGCCAATTGCCTCCCTTGGGGTTTTGGAGGCAATGATTGCAGTGATGCGATAGGATTGGTATCTGCTGTGTTGTCAACGCCAGACATCCCTTAGCAAGTCCTGCCTCTCCAACTTCCCAAGTCCACTACGGGCTCACCATAGCCCGTGCTACTTGGAGCTTTGTGTTCCGAGTAGCGAATCTTAAACAACAAACAACATCCAACTTCCCACCAAACGACACGCACCTTATCTAAGGCCCAAAAGTTTTTCCTCCTTACTACTATTTCCCCTGTCCCAACCTCCCTGCTCGCCCTTTGGGTAACCTTGTGCTACATTTAGTCTAAGTGACCTGCTGCATGGGTAACAGCTTCTCCCCCATATCAACCTACCCTGGCTTTGCGCCCTGGAGAGGCCACTCCAGACCAACAACCAGAGCACAACTCCATAGTCTCCTGAGACTGATGGATGCCAACTAGCCTCAATGTGCCCTTTTTCTCCAGTCACAAACAGCAAATGCAAAAAAACATCTCTGGCTAGGCTTTGTTTCACGTGGGTGAAGCATTTACAGCGTTGTGGTTCGAACACAAGTCGTCAGTGAAGCACTTGTTCGGGAAGTGTTCGAACGAAATCAGTTGAGAGTCGTGTGTAAGCCGTTTTTCATTCATAAACAGCTGGGGTTTGGCGGGTGGATGGAATCACATTTGGGTCTTCGTTTGGAGGATGGGCTGCGGGTTGAGTATGTATACGCTCAGAGCTTCAAAACACCACATTCGGATCCCTAGACAGACATCAATGCTTTTATATTAAATCTATTGACGAAACATGTACATCTTTCCTCACTCGTGTGGGCTTTGTTTACACCCATTAAACAGTTTACGAGCTCCGACGTTGTTTATAAGAATACTGTTAGCAGGTTGTAACGTTTCGAAGCTAGTCAGCCGTTTGAATGATATACAGGTTTCGCAGGTGGATGCGTAAATACTTGAAATCTGGCCCCAGAGCCTAAGATATAACTATAACAAGCGTATGTGGCCATTAATAAACACATTTTCTGGCTACGACCAACCAATAAGAGGGCGAGGCACGCGGGCTGAGCAATCAATAGTCTGGTGGATCAACCCGACACCTCATAACACACACGTTAGCAACCGCGGTCACACTAATTCAGCAACGCATAAACAAGTTTTGAAAACTTAAGCAAGTTTCTACTTGATTATACTACGTATGATCAAATAGAAACTCCTTTCTACCACAGTACTCCCAATACCCCCAGATACTCCAGTACCCCCAACACTCCCCCCACCCCCAGTACCCCCGCTAAGTAACCCCCCCCCCCCAGTACACCTTAACAATGCTGGCTGACCAGATTTAGCGGCCCTCAATCTTCCAGTTCTAAACAAGGACACAAATACACATTGGTGTCGTGTATTATTGGATCATACACCACTAAGCGCGTCTCGAGTCTTAACAACAAATAAGCAAGCATGAATATTAAAGCGAGTGATGCGATAAATACACAAGGCGCGTATTTAATGAGTGCGTATTGCAGACGATATTCCTTCCAGGCACTAACTCATACGTGAGTGTTGGTACTCACGTGGAGAAGCTGTCCACGAGTAAATGAATAACTGAATGATTAGATGGTGAGTGTTTATTATTTGTGCCTGCAGAATCGAGCTATTAGCTCTTGGACCCCGCCTTTCTAACCAATCTAACTGTACTATGTGTACTACATATTTCTCTCACACACACTCCCAGGAAGCAGCCCGTAGCAGGTATCTAACTCCCAGGTACTTATATACTGCTAGGTGAACAGACGCATCAGGTGAAAGAAACAGTTTCCATTTGTTTCAGCCTCGGCCGGGAATCGAACTCGGGCCCTTAGACTCCGTGACCCGCCTCTTCCGTTCACGATCGTATTCTCGTATGTCCCACTGTGTTAATATTTGAGTCCCCGGTCTACACCACTGGGAGCACGCGACGTGCCACGTATGAGATGTAAACACAAAATGCGTCTTATACAATTAACCTGCGGGAACTAATAGCACTCTAGAAACTAATGGAGGAATTTGACTAATGTCCAATTCTCCCTAGGTCACCCTAGGTCAATTGATTCAAATGGGACTCTGAACCCCTCGTTTTGTACCTATTCCCCACCAAACTAGCATGTTTGCACCCAGGTACTTGGTAGTCTCGGTTACTTTGCAGTTTTAACTCCCTGATTATGGGCTGTTGTAGCTTAAATGAAGGAACTACAAAATTGCAACACCTAACGGCAAAAACTAGAAGCTTAGTCGGGCAAAAACACAACACCGCCTTCAGGCGTCTATGGCAAACCAACGCCGGAGATCTTCCCTTCCCACAGGTCAAGCTGGAAAATGTAACTTAGAATCTATCAACTTTCCTGTAACCACAGGGCATAAATGTGCCCGCCCTCGTAATCTAGGGGGGGGGGGAATAATGACTACGTCAAACTCTTCACCCTTTGGGGGAAAATCGCAACAATTCCAACGACTTTCTGCAGGCGGGGCGCTGATGCGTCTGCCAGAGTCGAGGACGACCAGTCCAGAGAACACACAGATGGTGTTGACAAAATCACACACTAGAAAGTGAAGGGACGACGACGTTTCAGTCCGTCCTGGATCATTCTCAAGTCGATTGTGTCGATTCTCAAGTCACAATCGACTTGAGAATGGTCCAAGACAGACTGAAACGTCGCCGTCCCTGCACTTTCTAGTGTGTGGTTTGGTCAATATATTTCAGCCACGTTATTGTGACTCCTCGTCGGCACACAGATAGAGTGATCCCACAGAGAGCTGTAGTCACGCTGGTCCTCCTTCCAGGCAGTCAGGCATGGGAGCCTGTCCCCAGAGCCCCGAGGTGCCCACCACCAGGGCCTGCTGGGCGCGCCTCGAAGTACTCGAGGTCCACCACTTCAAGACTGCTGCCTTGAAGAGTTTGTCTAAAGAGTAGCTTGACTGATGAAGATTAAGCCACCCAAGAGATGGCACGGGCATGAATAGCCCGTAGTCTAAGAAGTAATACGACCTGTGTTTAAATATATAAGCTGGAAACACCACGTAACTAATAATACTAGTGCTATTACCAATATTACAGATAATATTACCACTAGTGAGAAAATCCACCAGGGTTGAAGTGGCACAGATCTACAACCCTCTCATTGCCAGTCCGAGTCTTGGAGGATTTTATCCTTGATATACAGTACATCACGTCAGCATGATGTCTGTATTACTACTAGTGATATTGCCAGTAATTATACTACACCACCACCGCTGTACACTTAAGGTCTATTGCTTCACTACTAATATACAATTTTATCGCTTTATTGCACTAGGAATATCAGAAATATAACATTCAATCTTGCGGCACTTAAGTGATTGAGCAGCACTCAAGTGGATTACATTCCTGGTACTCGACTCCATCTCTTATACAACTTTTACCATTGTCCTCCTTATTTACCAGTTGTTGTTAAAGATTTGCTACCTGGAAGAAAAAGTTCCAAGCAGCACGGGCTATGGTGAGCCCGTAGTATTTTTTACCAGTGTTGTTGAGTCATACTAACCTCATATATATACATATAAACCCCCTTATATAGTCATATAAACGCATACGTATACATAGGACCGTGTCTGCTAGGTAAAAAGAATAGCAGCTTTGTCCCTTGCTAGCCGAGACCAAACTCAGCTAGCAAGAGCTCTCTGGCTGTCGTTTCTAGCTAGGACCTTCCCTGCTAGGAACTAGACCTTAACAGTTCTTGCACCGGGTATTTGAGGCCTTGAGCCAGATTCACGAAGCAGTTACGCAAGCACTTACGAACCTGTCCATCTTCTTTCAATCTTTGGCGGCTTTGTTTACAATTATTAAACAGTTAATGAGCTCCGAAGCACCAGGAGGCTGTTTATAACAATAACAACAGTTAATTAGTAAGTTTTCATGCTTGTAAACTGTTTAATAAATGTAACCAAAGCCGTCAAAGATTGAGGAAAGATGTACACGTTCGTAAGTGCTTGCGTAACTGCTTCGTGAATCTGGCCCCCTTGCTAATGGACAGTCGGAACTTCTCATAAACTGGAGAAGATACTTGATATTTTTTTTCTGTTTTACTTGGCCAGAACTCGACTCGGGGGGGGGGGGGGGGA